TAACATTGAATATCAACTGCATTAAAAATTGCGATGCTTTTTGAACATAAAAATATTGAGCCGGATACTTAAATCTTTGTTAGACACTTGATTTTTATCAAATAGCAACATAAGGGTAGTTTTCACTACTAAAGTAATATTATGATAATGCCGTGTCTCCAATAAATTGCTTCATCATTTCATAAACCTGAAAAAACAATTTTTAAAGAATGTTTGGGTAGACCTTTTTTATAATAAAATATATTAAAAGATTGTGTGAATGGTAAAATAGTTACTGAGGGAGTTTAAAAATGGTTTCCTAATGCAATCTTATTTTTTTTTTACTATTCTAAAAATCAATTAACTATATAGTTGCTTTTCTGCTAATTGGACGCATTGATCTTTAAGAAGTTTTAAAAATGTTTTTCCTTTTCAATTTTTCCGATATTATATTTAAACTATGTTACTAATTATTCATTTTTATAACGAATATGCTTCCTTTTGTGAATTCTTTAAACTCCTAATAATTTCTCCTGGAAATATGGTAATTATTTTTTATTAAAGTCACTTTAAAAATAGCCTATTGTAACAAATAGGTTGAAAAACTTCAAATTCAAACATTTATTTTAAATTGTTAAAATTCTAATTTGAAAATAGTTTTCTTTTTCCAAAGACACCGAAATTGATCTTTCTCTTCTTTTCGACGAACGACTCTCTCTCTCTCTTGGCCGTTAAGCGCATGAGCTCCACGTTTTTAGAATTGAGAAGGAGTTTATGGAGATCAGTAACCCCTTTGGTATTTAAGTGGGAAGCCGGAAACACGATCTACATGAGGTACTGAGAAAAAGCGTCAATTATTTGACGAAAAAATGCAGAAAATAATCGTTTGATATTTGAAATAATGGACGGAGATGTAGATCCGTTCATGAAAAACGGCGGCGATGCAAATCAGGCCGCAGTAAAATAGTCCAAATATTCAAAATTGAGAGAATCAGGTTGCGGCCGCGGAAGAATACAACACTGGACTCTTCATTCCAATAAAGCCTCACAAAAGGAATGTCTCAAGCCCAAAAAGCTAGCCAAGGTTGCGAGGCCTGACTTCAGATTTACAAGAATACCTGCACATCCAAGTTTGAACAACGTCCAGAACCTCTGACTAGGCTGAGCGCCGTCCTCGCGCCATCATTGATACCCAAGAGGTCCGGCCTCGCCGTCATTGTGGCGCCGGGATTCACCGTCCTCTGGCACCGCCAGGAAAGATCGCCAGCATAAACATTCAATACCCGAGTCATTAACTGCCCCTTGTCCCACACTCTTTAAGAACGACATCTCCAACTGCAGATCATCGCAGAAGAAGCCATCATGAAAGATTCGTGGGTTCTGGGCGAATTCAACATCTTCAAGAAATATTCGATCGACATCGGGTCTGGCGCCTTGGAAGTCATTCCGGAACTCCTGGACCGGACAGCCGTTTTTAATATCGACACCATCTTCGAGCTGGATAGAATCCTCCCATCTGGATCGGGCTCTAATACCATAAAAAAGCTTCAGACGCGTGAATCCTTACTGGACTCTCAAGTATCGCTGTTCGTACCACCGTGCCATTCTTTTTCAAGTGGAGAACCCCCTTCATCGCTTGCGCCATCCATCTCCGCGCTTATTCGGTCAGCGTCAGTCATCGAGACAGTTGAGGCAATTCTTTGTGAAATTCTCTTAATATCAGAGACATTGCCTCTGAAACGAAAATTCTAGATGGCGACTATGTAAATATATTAATTGTTGTTTTTTGTTAGTGAAATATATTTATAAATACCTAATGGAGTAAGTTTATTTTCTCTTCTAAAATTAGTGATGTACTGATATTTTGAGGGAAAGTTCAGATCTCTAGGTAAGCTTCCTTCAATACTCTTAAAGCTCAAGTTATTCAATATAATTTTGACTATTAGGTCAAAATAAAAATTAAAAAAATAATAAATTTATCTATACTAATTCTAATTTTTCGTTTTTTCTGAAAGATCATGCTGATCATTGGAATAATTATAGCTTCACCTGGTGAAAAGCTTAATGTTGGCAATTAGTATTAAAAGCACATAAATTATCTATCTGTAGTTTTTTTATCGAATAGAAAATTGCTTCAACTAAAAATACTTCGCGCTATAAATATTTACAATTTTTAATAAAGTTCATTGCTCCGTAATATTAAATATGATTAACAAATAAAATAATTTCTGATTGTATTACTTATAGAATAATTAAAATGTGTTTGTCAAATATAAAATTACTAGCCGAATGACCCGGGCAACGCCCGTATTTTACCCGACTGAAGATGTTACAACGGTGATCCTTAGGTCGCTGGTTCAAATCCGGCTCGAGGGAGCCGGCGAGCACGTGACCTCCCTGTGCGCGCGCATCCGTGACAGAGGCCGATGAGGAAAGACGGTCGTGACTATATATATACGAATGACCCGGGCAACGCCCGTGTTTTACCCGACTGTAGATGTTACAACGGTGATCCTTAGGTAGCTGGTTCAAATCCGGCTCGAGGGAGCCGGCGAGCACGTGACCTCCCTGTGCGCGCGCATCCGTGACAGAGGCCGAATAGGAAAGACGGTCGTGACTATACCAGGTCTATTAATATGAAACGCGAAAATGGGCGCTAGAGGCCGCTGTGCAACTTTATTTGAGCCGACGGTGGCGCTGTTGTAGGCGTTTTGTTCTTTGACTCACGTGGCATCAGCATGCGTGCAGTTTTAGAAAAATTCGAATCGTGAAAAATTTCTGGAGCCCGTGGAAAATGGCGATTTCCGAGCCAAAAAGTGCCCATTTGCGGGAAGTTTTGTTGTTCGCCTTTAACTGGAAGAAAAGTGCCACTGAAGCCCACCGAATGCTCGAGGAAGTTTACAGCGACTACGCTCTGAGCAAATCAGTGTTACAGGTGGTTTAAAAAATTCCAAAGTGGCGATTTTGAACTTGATAATTAACCACATGGAAAACCGCCCCAAAAGTTCGAGGATGCTGAACTGCAAGCTTTGTTGGATCAGGACAGTACCCAAATGCAGGGGAAACTCGCAAAACAGCTCCAGTTGTCTCAAGGTGCTGTTTCTCTACGTTTAAACAGCTTCGGAATGACCCAAAAGCTTTCCAGATGGGTCCCCCACGAGTTGAGCGAAAGGCAGCAATAACGGCGTCTGGTAACCTGCGAAGGGCTGCTCGCTAGGCATGAAAAGAAGTCATTTTTGCACCGAATCGTAACTTCTGATGAGAAATGGATCAACTTCAGCAATCCTACGCGCCAAAAGTCGTGGGTCCTTCCCGGCCAATTTCCAAAACAGACGCCTAGGCCAAATCGCTTCGGAAAAAAGGCAATGCCAAACGGAATGGCGTGAAAAGCACAACAACCTGATACTGCAGCATGACAACGCTCCAGCCCACAACGCTACGGTGGTCAAAAACACCATAAAAGACTTGGGCTGGGAACTCTAACCCCACCCGCCGTACTCACCAGACTTAGCGCTGTCGGACTACCACCTTTTCACATCTTTAGGACACGCCCTAAAAAACCAGGAATTTTCGAACTCGGACATACTCCGAAAATGACTTGTTGACTGGTTCGACTCAAAAGGAATAGAAATTTTCAGACAAGGAATTCGAAAATTGCCTGAAAAGTGGTCCGAGTGTATAGCTAATCAGGGCAGATACTTTGAATAAAAAATCTTTTGTTGTATGGAATTGGTGAACTTTTGAATTCACTGAAAATTTTCGCGTTTCATACTAATAGACCTGGTATATATATAATATAATATAATATATGTATGAGTACATTTTGTGTAGAAATAGGATTAGTTGACTTTATAAGGTAAACTTATTCATACAGTTTGTATCCTTCGATAGCTCAGTTGGCAGAGCGGAAGACTGTAGATGTTACAACGGTGATCCTTAGGTCGCTGGTTCAAATCCGGCTCGAGGGAGTTTTTTTTTTTTAATTTTTATTGGCTGCCGGCGAGCACGTGACCTCCCTGTGCGCACGCATCCGTGACAGAGGCCGATGAGGAAAGACGGTCGTGACTATATATAGGGATAATATAATATATTAACACAAAGCAATAACGCGCCATCTATACATATAAAATAAAATGATTTAAAAGCGCGAATGTTTCTTTTATACATAAAACGAACTTCTACTGTCCTTACTGCGATGAAAAAATATATTGGGAGGGCTTGGCTCATCAGTGGTGAACCCTCCCAGCGGTTTCGCCAATTTAATCCACCAGACCGCTTCTCAGAGCTCTAATACTGTATTGGATCATTCTGCTTTTATATGCTACACTGAAGGATGGAATCTTAGAAATGGTATTCAAGTAAACTATGAACATAAGCTTATAGGACAGTAGAATTACATTCAAATATTTGCTTCGAGCAATGCTCTTCAGCAAACTATAAAGACAAGGCCATTAGGAATAAATTAACACAAAGCAATAACGCGCCATTTATACATATAAAATAAAAGGATTTAAAAGCGCGAATGTTTCTTTTATACATAAAACGAACTTCTACTGCCCTTACTGCGATGAAAAAATATATTGGGAGGGCTTGGCTCATCAGTGGTGAACCCTCCAAGCGGTTTCGCCAATTTAATCCACCAGACCGCTTCTCAGAGCTCTAATGTAATTCTACTGTCCTATAAGCTTATGTCCACAGTTTACTTGAATACCATTTCTAAGATTCCATCCTTCAGTGTAGCATATAAAAGCAGAATGATCCAATACAATATTAGAGCTCTGAGAAGCGGTCTGGTGGATTAAATTGGCGAAACCGCTGGGAGGGTTCACCACTGATAAGCCAAGCCCTCCCAATATATTTTTTCATCGCAGTAAGGACAGTAGAAGTTCGTTTTATGTATAAAAGAAAATTTGCGCTTTTAAATCCTTTTATTTTATAATATAATATATGTTGAGTACATTTTGTGTGTAGAAATAGGATTAGTTGACTTTATAAGGTAAACTTATTCATACAGTTTGTATCCCTCGATAGCTCAGTTGGCAGAGCGGAGGACTGTACGGTGATCCTTAGGTCGCTGGTTCAAATCCGGCTTGAGGGAGTTTTTTTTATTTATTTTTATTGGCTGCCGGTGAGCACGTGACCTCCCTATGCGCGCGCATCCGTGACAGAGGCCGATGAGGAAAGACGGTCGTGACTATATATAAGGATAGTTTTATAGTCGCACAAACTAAGGAAATAGTGATTGACATTTGTATGGCCAGGATTAATATTTGGTGTTATTGATGTGATGGGCTATTAAGTTGGAGTGATGGTTATATATGTATGTCGGAATATTCGTGAACGGCTGTCATGGTTTAAGACGCATCTCTGATGTTCAAAAAGTATTTTTCTCGTGTTCATTGAAATCACACATTCAGAAGAAACGCGATGTTTAAAACTCGTCATATATCGCTGTAATAAAATAAATTCCGTTTTCTTAAACCTATTTCTATTTACTTGAGGATTATTGCGATTTCACCGCCACTCTGTGTTGTGACGACGATCTAAATTCTATAGAGGTAGTCACTCACCTCTATTCTTGGTCGGAGGGGTTGAAGGTTCAAAATTAAGGCGTCGCTGTTTATAACACTTTTAAAATATACGACGAAAACAGGAGGGAAAATTATATTTATTACAATTTAAGAAAATAAGTAAAGTATTATTTAATTAATTATATATTTAAATGTTTACACTAAAAGAATCGGAGATCAGGGCAAATTCTAGTGTTCGAAAGTTGTTTACAAGTTCTTCTGTTATTGTTTTCTCATTTTTGCCGCTGCATCCCCGTAGCCGCTTCCGCCGGCCTCCCATTGGCTGCTTCGGACGTCTTCTTTTCCAACATTTCTCCCACCTTTGAGTTGGCGTCTCGACGACTCAAACATGGAAAGGAAAAGTTCAGTAGATCCAATCTGTTGGGTCTCTTGATGGGCCGTCCGTAACTTGACACAACATTCGGGGTATCAATGTGATGTTGCTCTTGTTGTGAAGTCAAAGGGTCCTCTTCAGTTGTCAATCGAACTTTTTGTGTAGGAGGTCGCTCCGTTAGTGGGTCTCGACATCTTATCTGGGGCGTTATCTCTAAATTGTAGAGTTTTTGAATAGGTCGTATTTTATCACCTGATGAAGTTTTCACTTTCGCAACCCTCACAAGTCCATCTTTTCCTGGATAGAGTTGGATTATTCTGGCTAACGGCCAGTGTAGTCTCTTTAAACTCTCTTGTCCAATGAGCACCATGTCTCCCACCTTGAATGGTATGGTAGTCTTCAGGCGTCTCGTTTCTTGTCTCAGGAATCCAAAATATTCGATACGAAATCGTTCTCTAAGATCTTCTCGTACACGTTTGATATATTGATATTTGCGGGAGAGGGTCTGGTTATCAATCAAGTCCAGGTCTGGAACGCCAACCTCTCTGACCTCATGTAAGAACAACGAAGGGGTCAATGGAGCGAGATCCTCACTATCTTCAGTTAGGTAGGTCAGTGGGCGTGTGTTCATCAAGCTTTCGACGACACAAATTACCGTGGAAAGTTCTTCAAATTCCAAGGAGGTTTGACCGAGAATCCTAAAGAGCAATTGTTTCATCATTCCAATCAAACGCTCCCACCATCCACCCCACCAAGGAGCACCAGGCGGTATGAATTTCCAGGTGATGTTTTTCAATGTGGGATCACATTTTAATCTCGAAAAATCAATCTTCTTTAAAGTATCAGTCATGCCTCGGAAATTAGTCTCGTTATCCGAATACACAATCAATGGGCAGCCTCTTCGAGCAATAAATCGGCGGAAAGCTTGGAGGAAGGCTTCCATAGACAAAGATGTCACAAGTTCCAGATGAACTCCTCTATACACTGCGCATGTGAAGATGACAATCCATGCTTTCTTCTTATTCTTTAAGATAAGATGCCCAGTTAGATCAACTCCTGCTATTTCGAAAACTGCAGCATCTCGGTCTTCTTCCTTTATTCCAATTTGTAAAAATGCTTTCTCAATATCGGAAGAGACACCTACTTCATATTTCCGGAATTTATTTAAAAGTCTTGGTATAATTTCTTTCAAATTGGGTCCCTTATCCAGACAGTCATTCAGGGAAAGTTTACCTCTCTTCCGGGCCGACGCATTGAATACTGGCCGTATTCTAGAAGTTTGACTGTTTCTTTTATACACTGGTCGATGTGGCAGGTTGTGAACACCATCTAGTTTATCCTCTCTGGAATACTCTATTATCCCCTGATTTATACATTCTTCAAAGATTTGTTCATACTCTTTCATGTCTCCAACTTCTTCAAGTTTTCTTCTTACAGAACTTAGTTGGTTTTCGGCTAGGTCTCTATTCGAAGGAATCCTTTCCTTGTCTTGCACCCAGGGTAGAACTACCTCATAGCGCCCCTCGATATCTCGCGTCGTGGTGTGGGCGAAATGTTCCTCCATTTCAGCTTGTAATGACTGATTCTTCTTCTCAACCTCCGCATCAGAGACTCCAATTGCATCTAATTTCCACAAGTTTTCTAGATCCAAAGATAGAAGTGTGGTCACGCAAAGGGAGCTGATGTCATCTCTCACCTCCGTTGGAGGAATCTTTCCCATCACAGTCCATCCTAGTTTGGTACCGATTGCCACCAGTCCAGATGAGATTCTTCTCTGAGCATCGGTTAGCAATCTCCCGGTGATGTCCGCCCCTATAAGGACTTCTATACGGTCTCTCATCAAATCTGACACGTCGAGTTCTTCACTCCCTTCTAAAAATGATCTAAGACACACCGGAGGTATGCTTCCACAGATAAAGGGTTGACCTAGTGCTTCAAACTCACAGCGATAGGAATTATTGATGTCCGATAAATGAATGGTATAGACCTCATGTTCAACTACGTCGGTACTCGATCCTCCAAACAAGGAATGTCGGAAGAACTCTCTCCTTGATTGTTCGTATTCCATTTCCATTGCTGTACTATGTAAAATATATGATCTTTGGGATCCGGTGTCTATTATAGCCCGTGCCGTCTTCTCCGTTCTGTTCCCTTTGAGGGTCACTCTCAAAGTAGGTAACAAGACGTCTGGGGAGGTTGATAAGTTGGCGAGAGTTTCATCTTGCACCGTTGGAGACTTGGAAGATCCACCTCTATCTAAAATCAGTTTTGTGCACATGACATCCAGGTGGGAAGACATGTTGCAGATCGAACAACGGACTACATTTCTGCAAAATTTACTTAAATGAGAAGGCCGAAGACATTTATAACAAACGCCTTTTTTCCTCATGAGTGATCTCTTTTCGTTTAAACTCATATTAGCTGCAAAGTCACACTTAGGGCTTCCATGGTTGTCTTTACCACAAAATACACATTCATTCGATATGTGAACTGAATTCAAAAGTTCTGAAGCTGTCGCAATTGGTTTTTCATTGTAGAATCTTGTCTTTGGGTGTTTTTTTACTAAATTAGGTTTAGAAGTTGATTCCTTCCCGGTACCGATTTCGTTTCTAAAACTCCTCTCCCGTGCAGTTAATTGTCTTTCTAGAAAGGTAATCAAGTCATTAATTACGTAACCTGTCGGGAGTTCTTTGTTCAATTCCAAATTAAGGTCTGCAGGTAGAAGCTTTATTATTATCGGGCACAACAGTTGTCCGTAAACATCAATGGACACGTTTAGTGACTCGAGACTCCTTATTTGAACAGAAAGGTTGTCAAAAAATTCGCGGAAGGTTCTCACATCGCTTGACGTTTTGAGTGGTCTCATTGACAACAAATTGTTCATATGACGGCTAATCAAAATGTCTTCGCGCCCAAATCTGTCTTTAAGCAATTTTATAGCTTTCTCATAATTGTCCGCAGATAAAGCGAAACCTTCGACTGTGTTTAGTGCAGTTCCGCCGAGATGTGACATTCAGATAGTTAAATTTATCGATCGGGTTCAGTGAGTTGTTCTGGTGTATAGCTGCATCAAAAGAATTCCAGAACGTCAGCCATTCACTAAAGTTTCCATAAAATTTCGATATCATCAATTTCGGAAGTTTCACAGTCGTGCAGGAAGATACATAATGTCTCATTTCATTTTCATCTATTCGTGAGTTCGAATTCGGTATATTTTCGCCATGAAAATCTGATTGGCGAATCTTTTTATTTGCCCTAAATCTCCAAGTAATATATTTCTCTCGATATTCCTCTACGCCCTGTAATTCCCTCTCTAAATCGTCAGTTTCCAGAAGCGTTTCTATTTCGTGATCCACTAATTTAAGTTCGTTAAATGATTCATTCAATTGTTCTAATAATTCTTCAAGATCAATTCTAATTAGCGTGTCAAGTCCACTTTCAATCTTATTGCATGTTTTCGTTAAATATGATCTGTCAATAGCACGCTTCTTCTTTAAACGTAAAATTAATTCTTCCGCCATCTTGTAAACAAAGCAGGAAGTAGGGTTAGCTAGTGAGTTCCAAAATGGCCAGCTTAAAATGATTATTTTTTTCTAGAATTTACCTTCAACAGTCCCGGCTGGGATGCCAAAAATATTGCGATTTCACCGCCACTCTGTGTTGTGACGACGATCTAAATTCTATAGAGGTAGTCACTCACCTCTATTCTTGGTCGGCGGGGTTGAAGGTTCAAAATTAAGGCGTCGCTGTTTATAACACTTTTAAAATATACGACGAAAACAGGAGGGAAAATTATATTTATTACAATTTAAGAAAATAAGTAAAGTATTATTTAATTAATTATATATTTAAATGTTTACACTAAAAGAATCGGAGATCAGGGCAAATTCTAGCGTTCGAAAGTTGTTTACAAGTTCTTCTGTTATTGGTTTCTCATTTTTGCCGCTGCATCCCCGTAGCCGCTTCCGCCGGCCTCCCATTGGCTGCTTCGGACGTCTTCTTTTCCAACAAGAATATTAATATTTAGAAATATGTGTGACTATTCTACTTCGATTCAATGAACCCAGGTATTAATGTTTGATATAAAATCAGCGAAATATACTTCTAAAATCTTGGCAATATTTGGATAGAAATGTTTTTTTTTTTAATATACGCCATCCGTTTATTCATATTCTTAAATAATTGTTAATTCAA